GGGGGGGAGGGTTATCGTGAACGTGAAGGCCCTCCGTAACGTGAGTGGAAGAGTGGGTCACGTGAGGCGGATGGCGCAGGGGACACGCGGGCACGTGAGAGGAGGAGGTAGTAGCCTTACGTGGCAGTCCACGGGCCTTCGCTTTCCGGGTTTTTCGTCTTTTTTGTTTTATACCATCAGGACATAACGTCTATAGTATCAGCCCAGCAGGCCCTTTTGGTTTCACACACTTGTCTTTCGTCTTCTCCCACATGTCCAAACACGCCCCATTTAACTGATCGCAAAGCACCTCAATAGAGATACCATTAAACAAATGAATTAGGTTTATATTTTCCATAAAAGTGAACCGAGAATATCGTGCCTTATAGACGAAGAAAGTGGTCTGACGCTTGGAAGTGAGTTAAAAAGACAAAGCACCATCTTCTTAAGACGTGTCGGTTACAGAAACAAGGTCAGCAATTAGACCCAAATCGCAGATAATAAAATCTCTTCCGAAAGAAACGAGCTTTCCTCATCATCCTTTGTTTTCTTTTTCCCTTGTGGGCAAAATCCCTTTGGCCGAGTGCGAGGAAGAGGCCAAAGCAAGAAAAGAAGGTGCTGCGTCGTTTTGCTGAGCTTCAGACTAAGGCAATCGCTTTCTCCCCCATCGTCGGCAGGTTAACAAGATTCCTCGTGAAGAACAAGGATACGTATACATTTTTAATGAACAGATAAATAGTGTATGGCTATGTTTGGGAAAAAACAAGGACAGAGGGTTGAGGCAGGAGGTTAAGGAAGAGAGTGAATGGTGGGTGATGGGTTTCCTAAGAATTCTGCAGTAACAAGTTTCATGCTTGCCTGATAGGAGTATGTCATGGGTATCTTCTGGATTACATCAGTTCTCTCCCATTAATATCTTCCTTCTCCCCATTTTGGGCTTCGCACCCATCCGTATTCTAACCAATGTTCCATAAATACCAAAGTGGAGAAGAAAGTGTGAAACCATACCATTATACTTAAAGCGCCCCCGAGTCCAAGGAGAGAGAAAAAGTCCCAGTCCCAGGAATGGGAAAGTTTCATGCTTAGCCGATTCTTCCATTGTGATTCCGAGTATAAAACAAAAGGGTCGCCGTAATTCCGAATAATCCTTTGGGTTTGTTCCGAGACAGAGAGAAAAGAAAAACTTTTTTCTTTTTGGTTTGTCCTGCAAAACTCGAGGGGGTGGGATCGAAAATGATGAAGGAGGTGGGGATAATAGGAGGACTGGTGGGAGTACAGTGCGTTTACGGGGTGATGACGATGCTGCTGAATCAGTTGATGTCTCTGCAATTCGACCCTCTCACCATTGTTGTCTTCTGCACTTTCGCCGCTTTTCTTATTCTCACGCCTCTCTCTCTTCTCCTTGAAAGGTTCACTCTTTGATCAATCAGCTGATGACCACAATAGTTACTCTGTTAATTTTTTTTTTTTTTTTTTTTTTTTTTTTTTTTTTGTATCTGAGTTAATTTTGGGTGATGCTGCTTTTGGTGGGATCCTTTCCAGGAAACTGTGGCCCAGAAGTCTGAGTTTGAAGTTGGTGACCAAGTTGGTTTTGCTTGCCGTCACTGGGTAAATGCCCCCTCTTTTGTCTCTTTCATTTTTTGTCCGATTATTACCAAGTTTCAGTTCCAGTTTTTGGTGATTATTTGTCGCATGAACTTGAAGATTAATTCCGATTGATGTTCCGTATTGGTTTTTTTTTTTTGGGATGAAAAAAATGGAAAGGGTGACACTGTTCCAGAGCATGTACCTGGAGGGAATGAAACACACTTCTGCATCAATGGCGACAGCGATGCCCAACCTTTGTCCCGCTTTCATTTTTATCATCGCCTGGTGTTTTGGGTGAGTTCTCCTTTGCATCTCTGTTTTAGTTGATTAAGAAACCAACTGAAAAGGGTTTTTTTTTAATAATTTAATTAGTTAGTGATATAATTTAAAAAAATAATAATAATAATTTTTAAAAATGTAGGATGGAGAAAGTGAAGCTAAGTTGTGTATACAGCAGAGTGAAGATAGGAGGAACAGTGCTGTGTGTGATGGGAGCCTTTGTCATGAGCTTAATGCACAGCACTTCTTCTTCTTCATCATCATCTTCCCCAACTTTCGACAAGGACAAAGTCTTCGGTTGCATCCTCCTCCTCGTCGGTGTCCTCGTCCTTTCCTCTAATCTCGTCCTTCAGGTCCTTATACATAATCCTCTGTTTCTACATCAATTCCGTCTTGTTCCTAGTTGATAGAAGACATTTCAATGTGTGAATATATTATAATAGGCATCGATATTAAGAGAGTTTCCAGCGCCAATGTCACTGTTCTCGGTGGTGTCATTCATTGGAACGATCAGCACGGCGGCTGTAGTGTTAATCCAACATGGCAACCTAAACATTGGGGGTTCAGCCACAGGGCTAGGCACTCTCATCGGCTGTGCTCTTCTGGTCGGTTTTCTTATATATATATGTTGATGTATATGTGTGTGTGTATATATATGAACATATAAGTGATGAAAAACGGCAGGGAGGGATAGTGAGCGGAGGGAGCTTGAGCTTCAATGGATGGGTGATAAAGAAGAAGGGACCAGTTCTGGTGTCAATGTTCAGTCCCATAGCCACTGTTGTCTGTGTCCTTGTCTCCTCCCTTTGCTTGGGAGAGCCTTTCAGCGTTGGAAGGTACCTTCTTTTTCTCTATGATGTCTTCTCAAATGTGGGTTTGTTTTTAAATAATAATAATAATAAAAAAAAGTGACGATGGGGTGTTTTTGATGAAAAGCTTTGTGGGGATGGGGTTGATGTTCGGAGGACTGTATTTCGTGCTGTGGGCTAAAGGGCCTTGATATTTCAAAGTTATCCTTATCTACAGGAAACAGCACTTTCTACCTGAAGTCACGATCATCATGGAGAGATTCTACAGAAATTGGAGCCATGGAGTTTGCACTCAAAATTTCCTTAGTACGTTTGACTTGTTTCTTTAATTTAGCCATGGCTTTGGGGAACTTTCTCACATCAACTCCATTACCAAGTTGTTTATTAAACTCATCTGCAAAATACTCCACCAAGCGCATCTCCATATTCTGTCCTCCCAGTTCTGAGTCCCATCTGACATCCTTGACCTGCATACATAGTCTTTTATCCATACGTAAAAGAAGCAAAATCATCTGATACCAATTGTAGACGAGGAAACAAAAAACAAAGACAAATATAAACCAAACAATATTTTACAGAAAAAGAAACAGAAACATCAAAAGAATATAAACTTGACAAAACAACCAGCGTATTAAAGATCCTGAGAAGCCTCTCTTGCTGTCCTAATCCCTCATGCTTTTTTTATCATTTATTTCATGTTGTAAGTGTAATAATATTACACAAAAAAAAAAAAGGATAAGAAGGCTGGGCCGACAATGCATGCGTTCCCTTCATGTTTTTATTTTACATGCTGTAAATAAGGAAGAACACGATTATATCTCTCGACAGTCCAAACCAAAGCATCCACCACCCCAACATGCATGCATTCATTAGAAGATCGTATAAAAAACATGACACCCATTGATCCTCTCCAGCTTTCTACAGTAATGTTTAGTTTTGAAATGTATTTGTCACGCCAATTTTTTTTTAGATTATTTAGAAATTCACATATGATTTAATCTCAGATGAATATTCTTTTTCACATTTATATTTAAACTCGGTACTCGGAATAAGAGAATGTTTCGCGTGTTCTCTTACCAATCTTAATGTTTCTTCTCACATGTGTCATCTAGCCCTTTGGGTTCACGCCAACTTGTTGTTAACCGACGAGGGTTAACTTTTTCTTTCTATATTTCGCGAATATAGACGACCAACGTTTATCTTACTCTTCATTATTATTATTGACCCAGCAATGCATTATTTACTTGGGGGCTTTGTGTAGAGGAGAGAATGCCTGTTACCTACTCTATTAAGTTCCCAACCTCCCTCTCTCTCTCTCCCTTTTCCACAAGCCACTTGAATTCAGGGACAGGGAGAGAGAGAGTATGAACAAAATTAAAGAAAAAGAAGGACAGAGAGATTCGCTTCGTTTTGTCTGTCAGATGGAGAAACACGGATGCAAGCTCTGTTCGAAGAGCTTCAGCAATGGCAGAGTTCTCGGAGGACACATGAAGTCTCGCCTGGTCGCTTCTCAGCACGAGTCGTCAGCAGAGTCTTCGTCGTCTTCCTCGTATGGTAAATCTCCGAGTTATAGGTTGCGAGAGAGCCCCAGAAAGAGCTTCCGGATGGCGGATTTGTCTCCCGTAGTCATCGTCGACGTAGAAGAGGGCGAAAACGAATCCGAACCTGGAAACCCTGCTCGGAAAACAGCTGGCAAAACCAGAAGAAAGATAACGACAAAGACGGGTCGGAACTCGGGGGATCCGAAGAAGAAGAAGAAGGGTTCGGCGCGAGTTCTGTCTCGGACGCTTCTCCGGAGGAGGATTTGGCCATGTGTTTGATAATGCTGTCCAGAGATGCGAGGAATCATTGGGGAAAACTGAGAAAACCAGGAGAAGAAGACGAAGAGATGAGGCCGGAAAAAAGGCAGTGTCTGATAGATCTGAACTTGCCTCCACCGTCGGAAGAAGACGAAGCTTTTGCAGTGTAGCGGGAAGAACATTGTATCCTAAGACATTGTAGTTTGGCCTAAAGACAAAACCCAGAAAAAGAGCTCTATGACTAGTGTAGTGTGCAAGGACGTATTCTTGAAGTTGAAGGCATGGGTTGTAATTATAAAGTTTGGACCTTTTGGTATGAAAGAAAAAATGTAGCGGGACGGCGACTAAGTCGTAGATTTGGATGAAGAAGATGGTAATATTGTAGTACGTGCAATGCAAGTGGGTAGACGAGACCACCTGACCATGCACCATAAAATATTTAGGTGAGAGAGCGATCGGAGGGGTACGTGGGGCCAGATGGTGACATGGCATATCTTTATTCGAATTTTGGGCCTTGTTGTTGGGTTCTCATCCCTTATGGTTCGACGGTCGTTCAAATGTTGGGCTTTGTACGACCTTCAATGACGTGATTTTTTTTCCGAGCTTGTTACAAGCTAATAATCTCTATTAATTGTCTGGTGCTCTTTCTGGACACTCGGGAAATGAATTGATATTTTTCATGTATATATACAGAAGCAACTCACCAACGCAGTTCAACCGGAAAATCTATCCGGTCACCGGAATCTGACTAGACCGTCCTCCCCTAGTACAATTTGCTGAAGCCAGAGTTCATCCCGGATTCCCCCAACCGCGGAAACAAAGCCTCTTTCTCAATCAACAACTGAAGATGCGACATCACCCTAACCAAAGACACCCAAACAAAAGGAGCGCTACAAAATGCATACCCGAAAACAGCTAGAGCCCTCACAACCCCGTCTTGGTACAACGGAAATGCCATCACGAGGAGGGATCCGGTTATGCAGAGCCAAGGCGTAAGGACTGACAGAGTCGGGAGCAAGAGGGCGTTGATGGCTATGGAGGAGAGAGAGAGCGATCCGATCAAGTAGAGGGACCAACCCATCAGTGGGTGGATGGTCTGTGGGATGGTGAAGAAGGGCAGAACGTAAGCTGCTACGATCGATATGATAGCCGTCAGCTTTAACGCGTTTTGGATGGCTGAATGGTTGCGTTCAGAACGTCTGTAGCAAAGCTTAGTGATGGTGGGACGTGCCAGACGTGTGATCACGATTATTCCGATGTAGAACGCTGCTTGTATTAGAGCTAGTGGCATCTCCGCTGCATAGCTGAGTGAATAGGACAGTGGCGTCACATTGATCATTTGATTTTGATCTTTCGAATGAGGTTTTTTTTGGGGGGCAAAGTTTAAACATTAAAGGCTCGAGCTTTTAGTTGACGTTACGTACCCAAGAGTAGAGCGGCGCTGTTCGTGCCAAGAGAGGCCTAAAGGAAGAACAGGCCATGACCACCAGTACCATGGCTTTAGCCAGACAGCCCCTGGGAACGTTATCACACTGTTTGGTCCACATGGGATGTTCCATCTCAGTCTAAGGTCTGCATGCGGAAGAGACAAACACATGTTTTATAGTAAGCAAATCAACTGCATCCACCATTTGAAATCTGAAACCCCAAGTATTAAAAAAAAAACTCACAGTAATAAGACGCATCCATCTGGTAGCCCAAGGGAAGTCTGAAATGTCCTTTGAGAAGATGAGAAGGATCGGTCGGAGGATGAAACAGAGGCTGGTTGAGCAGATCGGAGAAGTAGCTGACGAGGAAACCTTGGTCGGCTCCATCAGGGTTATGTCTTCGGAGCTCAAGCTCATGAAGCATGTCCCTGAAGACATCCATGGAAGGCTGCAAGACGAAGAGGCCTGTGTGGAAGATGCATGGGTTTATGAAGACGGCGCAGAATTGGCCGCATTGAAAGAGCTCGTCCGTGTTCTGCAGGAAGAGGTTGTCGGCGTCGAGCATTACCACTCGGTCGTAGTCCGACAGAGCCCACGCGTACAGTTTGTTCAGTGTCTGCTTGAATCTCCCGTTGAAATTTCTCTGTCCCTTGTACGGATTCTCCACGTTCTCCACTCTCACCACCTTTGCTCCGTCTTCCTCCTCCCTGTTTCCCCCACAAATTCAACTGCTTTTCAGCTCATTTCTCTTCGACCATATAAAAAATTTTAAAAGTATTTTTGAGTTTTTCTTCTGTTTTTTTTTGGTGTGTTGAACATAATAAAGATTTTTTTGTAATCATATAATAAAAAAATTAAAAAAAATGTTATTTAATGCAAGTAAGAGATAGCTTATGTTTCTAACGCATTAATAACGGAAGGCGGATTGACCGGACATATACACATATGGACAACCCCGTTGTCGTGTAAAGTCTGTAAAGTTACATTTTCACATAATTATGACAAAGTATATTGATGGATGAACAATAGATTTCAAAATCTACATATCTAATTTTGCGTTATTCACACCAAAAAAAAAATTGCGTTATTCTATTGTATTCGTCTAGCCAACAAAATTTTATTGTAATTAAATTGTGGAATATACATTCGTGTGTATATATATATATAAAGCGTTTCTTCGTTTTGTATATACATGCATCATCGGCGAAAATAGTAAAACAGAAAAAAAAAACAGAGGGAATACTTTACTTACATGGAACGAACCCAGCGGAGAGGGACGTCGAGGGAGGCGATGACGACGACATCAGCGTCAACGTGGAGGGCTCGGAGTGATCTGATGAGGACACGTGTTGCCACGTAGAACTCGTAATCCCTTGGCGTTCCCATGTACATCATCGTCGCGTACGCGTTCCGGTGCTCCGGCCGCCGCGTTCTGAGGCCGCGATCCCTCACCGCCGCGTCCAGCGTCTGTCTCTCCTCAAACGCCGTCGTTTCTACGATCACAACACATATCAGAACCCAGCACGAGAGCAACGCTGCTACTGCTCTCTGATTAACACCCATTACGATAGATAGATTGAAGAGAAAAAAGAATCGAGAACAAATATGCAGAATCGTTTTTTGTTGGAAACGGAAGTCTTTTAGGCTTCCGTTTTGTAAACTCTATATATTCATATAATATATAAATATATACACGCACTTTCTTATATATATATATATATATATATATATATATATGTGTTTGGCAGAGAGAGAATGGGACGGCTTTAATGGCATATAGGCGATTGCCCAATTGGAAACTTTTGTTAGGCACTTTTAATTTACCGAAGGAAAATAATAATTACGAGTTTTTAATGACAGCGTCTATCTTGATTGAATAAATCAACATCTATGTAGTTAGATCATTTCTGATACCTTCGGTAAAAAAAAAAACATTCAACTTTTCTTGACAAAAAATATTAAACTTTTGATTTTGTAAAATAATTTTTTTTTAAAATTTATAAAAAAAACATCTAACTCTTTATGTATTTTTTGAATTATATAAAAAATTTAGTATTTTTTATAATCACATAAAAAATTATGTATTTTTTATCATTTAAAATACTGTTTTTTAAACTTATTTAAAAAGTTTAATATTTATTTGATAAAATAAAAGTTCAATTTTTTTTTATCAAAATTATAAAATTAATTTTTTTTTAGGGTTTTTACTTTTTGATATCGTGTTTTTTTTCTCTCCTTAGAGCTAAGTATGTGAATTGGTCATAATGATGGATTATTTTGACTATCCACCGGTTGATCAGAAATACTTTTAAAGAAACCAAATTAAACATAGACCAATGGTAATCCCTTTTGGATTGGTGATACGGGGATTGTTATTTGGGTGAACTATAAAATGTTGAAACTGGGAATTATGGAGAGTTAAAAATAATTCTGAAGTGTATATATTATTGTTTTCCTACTATATTCCAATTGTATGTATTTCAGGAAAGGCTATGGTATTCATAATTGAAACATGAAGAAACTTTATATCATCAAAATAATTGTTATGACTTGTAATCATAGCATTTTCCCCGGAAACGAACAAAATCCAACGGGAGATGTGTAAGTTACAGTGTAACGCATAAGGGATAATATAAATAAATATATATATATATATATATATATGTGGGAGCTTAAATAATAAATATAATTAAAGGAAATAAAGAAAGAAAGAAAGAAAGAAAGGGCGAGCTCAAGATCAGGAAGTGGTCAAGAGAAGGGGGTGGCTCCCCACTTTCACTTTCCCCTGTTACAACCACACACGTTTGTTTTAGGCAGAATAATAACGCATGCATGCATCCAACATATCAATATGATGTGATGAAAATGGACAGACGCACTAATATGTTCATTCGGATGGATGGAACTTTGTCATCCCCATCAACTTATATTTCATGGGATAATGTATATCCAATTTTGAATATTTTCATTTCTTTTAGTTTATTGTTTTGTATCTTACAAAAAGCCATATATATTTTTAGGAGGGGGGGGCGATCGGGCGGGTCCGGTTTAATTAGGTTTGGTTATTTGGAATTCGGGTATTTCGGATTTGAAATATTCATATCCAATCGGATATATTTTTTTAATCAGTTCGGTTCGGGTTCGGATCGGTTTTGGATCGGGTTCGGGTCGGGTTATCTAAACAAAAAAATGCTAATTTTTTTTAAACAATTATCTTATAAAAATAACAAAAACAACATTAAAATACATTCATATTTGGTTTTTTTTATACCATGGTTATAAAACAATATCATTATATTAATTTTTTTAATTAGATTTAGAATATATTATATATTAACTGATGATATATGGATGGATAAACGGATATATTCGGTTACGGTTATTTCGGGTTCGGTTTATTTGGTTTACGGTTATTTCGGGTTCGGTTATTTCGGTTCGGTATTTTGGGTTTGAAATATTCATATCCAATCGGTATATTATTTTAATCGGTTCGGTTCGGTTCGATATATCTCGGTCGGATTCGATTCGGTTATTTTGACCACCGCTATATATTTTGTAATTGTGTATAGGTTACGGGAGTCTCCAAATGATATTAAATCTAATTAATATATATGTGGGTGGTGGGTGCTGTTGTTGTTGCTCGGTGGATAAATGGCGATGCCTTGGAATTAGGAAGATCATGGTTTGGTCGGTCCAATTTATAAATTTCACTCACTGATATAAGTCATCCCAATATATATAATGCTGCAATTAGAAACAGGACAACCGACCATATATCATCTTTATCCATAACAATGGCTACACACACACATATATATATATATATATATATTAACCGTTAACACATGTTTTGGTCATGCATATGAATATACTATACTTTTTTTTATTATCCAGAAATTTATCGAATCTTTACCCCCAACTACATTTCGGAAGAATATAAATAAATACTTTTTTTCACGTTTGGATATACTATACTTGTTATCCAAATATTTAAATAAATATAAATTAATATATACCAGATGAACTCATATTTCCATATATTTTCAACATTTATATATATATATATATATATATATATATATGTGTGTGTGGATATGTGTGTGTGAGAGAGCCAAATACGAGAAGAAAATATGGAGGTGGTGTTGACGGTATGACCAGGAGGAACCTTTCCTAAGTCCAAAGCGCGTACTTCCACAATAATTAGCAAATGGGCCTAGTGGGTTATATAATATATATACAAACACATTCACAATTTACCATTATTTTCTTTGCAGTAGTATAATACATATTCACAATTTATAAAAAAACAAAAATAATACAAACACATATATACATGGTCCAGAGATGGGTATAAGTAAAATTACAGATTTGTGATTTGAATTTTCATTTTTTGTAACTGAATTTAGGTTAGGTCGGCGATTCGATCATAATAAAGGAAAGGGTCGCCAAGTCGTTGACCATGAGCGCCTCACAACTCACATCTTCAAAGTCAACATTTTTTGGGTTTGAAAACGTGTAGTATCAATAAGCGTTACTCCCAAAGAATAACAACAACCTTTTTTTGGTAAATCAAATGATAACACAACAATTCTCATCGATAAAAATTACATATCACGATAGCTGTCTAATAATAAAAAAAACTACGTCCTTATTTAAAAAAAAAACGGTGTACATATGTATACGAACTTAGGAAGGCTTTTTATATGGGCCGGAAAACCCCATGTAGGATTCCAATGGGTAATAGACGATTTAATGATAAGAGAAAAATAACGAGGATGGGCCAACAAACTAATGGGCTAAAAAGCCCGTAAACCATACTGGACCCAACATTTATGCCTTCATCACTTTCGATTCGAAATATAACGGACGATAATGAAATGGACCTTCATGCGTTTTAGTGAGTGGGCTCTTATCAATTGTGGCTGAAGCCCATAACTAAAATGGACCGTGAAAAGATATCCGTTATATCATGGATTACGGGTCTGGATGTTTTTCATCTGGGGTCCTGAATCATGAAAAGGCCCATAAATCCAAACAAGATTAGGGTTTTTTTCGTTGCATGCTCTCACGTTTACGTTCGGTGTGCGTATATATATCGCACCTCCTCACGCTCTGTGGATCTGAGGCTGGGAAGAGTCCGTCTTCCTTGTTGTTCTTGTGTTTGTTTTCTTTTGAAATTTTCCGATTAGGATGGGGGGAAAGTGAAGAATGACGTGATTTCTCTCCAAGAAATCAGGTACTAAAGAGAAAGGGGCAATCGGAGAAATAAGAATGATTGCATAACCCTAAAGTAAACGTCACAGAGCAGAAGGAGCCGATGAGGACGTTGACGGAGCCTCTCCCTCAAAGGGAGGCTTCTCCGTCGGTGGTCGTTTGGGGGTCTCATATTCCATCGCCTTGTGTAGCAGCGTCGCTGCCTTTACCATCTGGGACTGGCCATGAGACCTACACTTTTTTCTCTCTTCTCTCTCTTCTTTCTCTTTATACTCATACACACACACGCACACACACGTATATACGTATATATATATACACACACACAGAGAATCTGTTTGGGTGGGGATGGCCGGTGAGGAGATGTATTTGAGAAAAAAAAACACCATCTTTCGGGACTGAATGGCTTCTTGTGAAGCCTTGCTGTCATTCTGCAATTCTGAGGCCTCTCCCTTCATGTTCTCTTTACATCATTTATTTGTTTTTACCAAAGAAAAGATAGGAAGTTCAACCAAAGTTATCGATTGAAAATCATACAAAAGTTACGAGTATGTTGGTCTCATGTTCTGTGGAATATGATATCTTCTTTATGAGGTTTAATTTAATTGTTAAACGCGTATTTTAAAAAATATATCCGTAACGTAAAATACTAAAATATATTAAGAGAAAAGGAAACGGTATCAAAGTTGAAAAATGTGAGGTTACCATATGAACCGGATTATTTGAACTCTGGTCTTGTGCAGTGAAGCACCAAGTGGAGTATGCACAACGACATGATCTGAATCTAGTCTCCACGAGTGGGACTGTAGTAACAGAAACGCCTCGCAGTTCGAGAAATCTGCTGATGGCCCGCAGACTTTGACGTTGTGCCATGTCAGATTTGTTCAAGTTTGCGTTCAAAGACCATACAGGCTGTAAAATTCAATTAAATCAGTCGGCATGGAATTTGTAACCATATCTAATCTCCTGTGTCGTTGTCAGATTCCAAATATCAAAAACAGGCAAGTAGTAACCTCAGCTGTTGATAGACAAAGCATTAGAAAGAGTGCGCAATGAAGTGCACTCATCTTTCAAAAGAAGCCGAGGAGGGTACTGACTGAATGGAGCAGATGAGTTGTCTGACAAATCTAATTAACAAAAAAACAACTTCCGAAAAAGAATAGAAAGTGCCCATGTCTTAAGGCAAGGAGTCTGAGATCCCCGAATGCAAATACGATCATGTGGACCTCTTATTGAGTGAAAATATACAAACAATCAAGTCACGGGGAGCAGAAAACGGAAAACGCCAGCGGATTTTCAATGAGGTCGCTCACCTCCGGGAAAATCCTCCGCTCTTTCGGCTCTGTTCCATGAAAAGAGATCTCTCCCTCTCCTTCTCACGCCTTTCCCTTTTCAGCCGCTC